GTTCCTACTTTGTAGAGTCTTATGTTATGAATAAAAAATATAATTAGCCATGTAAACATTTTTAAGTATATGGTTAAAACATTTTCTTGCATTTAACTTTAAATTGTTTTTATTGTTTTTAATTATTTATATTCTTAGAATTCTTTTATCAGGTTTGATTGTTAATTTTTTTTTATTTTTTTAATTATTTATATTCTTAAAATTCTTTTATCATGTTTAATTNTTTGATTTTTAAACAATGAGTTTAGCTGTTACAAACTTGTCTTGATCTTATTTAATACTCTATAAATAAATTTTAACTTTTAACTTTTATTTAGTTAAAATCAATTAAGTAATATTGTTTAAAAAATAAATTGAAATTTAAAAAAAAAGTAACTGATTAAAATCAATTAAAATATATATAAATGTGATTTATAGGTAGTTGTATGAATAGACAGTCGTTGCTTAACTCATAGAGAAATAGGCTGTTTTCTCGTAGTTCATGTGGTTTTTGACATTGTTCAATAGTTCGTGTATGAATAGACAGATTTTACATAGTTTAGAGGGAATTGGCCATTTTCCCATATTTTGTCCTTTTATATAGATATGTGCAAGTGCAACGACAACCAAATATCAATTGATTCTCATCTTAAAAAACAAAAAAATGCGTTGCACGATTTTAATTAGAATATATTTAAAGATTGGATGAAGCTCTCATGCAATAAAAAATAAAATAATTAGTTCTCAAAACCTAAAACATATTATTTAAAATCAAATATCAAGTCGGAAGATTTTTTTTTTTTTTTAAAAGAAAATTTTACACCCAGATTAATACTTGCACATATAATGTTAGAATGTGTTAATAAATGTAAAAGATACATGATATATAGATATAAAACACAGGAAAATAACACAAAAAAAAAATCAAAAGAAACCAAACTCGTGCAATGCGCGAGTCCAACCCTAGTTTGCTAAAATAGGCCACGTTGAATTAGATAATGTTCCAATACACTTTTGTCAACTTTTACAATTTTTTGTCTATATTACCCTTAATCGAAATATAAATAATTCAAAATAAAAGATTTCTAAATTTTTTAAAAATATGATAAATATAAACATGTCAGGAATAATCATTTGTATATATATATTTTTTTTAAAAATTAAAAAATGTGCTAAAAATAATTTTAGTTTTTCTTCTACGGCTGCCACAATTCGGTAGATTTAGAATTATGGTCCACGTCAATTTTCCTTGGCTGACATTTAGGAGGAGACCCTATCATCATCCCTTGCCACCGAGGTTTCCTTGGCTGACATTTTCCTTGGCTCCGGCCATCGAAGTTTCTTCGTCTTGTTCTTGCAACAGCAAATGAGTATAATAACCACTGCGGTAAAAACGACGACTATTTTAACAGCAACATCTATAAAATGATCATCAACTTTCATCACAAGTTTTTGTTTGTTTGGTTTTTGATAATATCTCTATAGAGATTATAGGAGAGTTAACAGATAATTGCATGAGAGATTAGATCAACGTGCATTTAATATGGTAGTTGATTTAATCAGGAAAATGCTTGTGGACTCTTAATCTTTTAGTTTAC